ATATTTGACAGTGCCGGCGTGAGTCAACCGATCTACGCCACCATTGGAGCTGGAATCGTCAACACGGTGTTCACAGTCGTCTCTGTGAGTGTCAGTCGTGTCAGTCGTGTCAGTCGTCCGTCTACAAATCTGACATCAATCAATTCTCTCCTGTTTTTCTTCGTGTGCACCAGCTCTTCCTTGTGGAAAGGGCGGGGCGAAGGACGCTGCACCTGATTGGTCTGGCTGGGATGGCTGCCTGTGCCCTGGTCTTGACGGTCTCCCTGGTCGTGGGGGTGAGGGTCTTCTTTCTGGACTTCCCACTAAAACGTTCTAGGACGTTTGTTCACCTTGTTGGTTGTTTTTTCTCTCTTGCCCTCTGAGCAGAAGATTTACCCCCCCATGAGCTACCTGGCCATCGTGGCAGTCTTCGGATTTGTTGCCAGTTTTGAGATGGGTCCAGGTCCCATTCCCTGGTTCATTGTGGCTGAGCTCTTTTCCCAGGGGCCTCGACCCGCCGCCATGGCCGTCTCTGGGTTCTCCAACTGGACCGCCAACTTCCTGGTGGGGGTGTCGTTCCTTAAACTGGAGGTAGGAGTCATGTTCTAAGCCCGGTTCTTTCCTGAGCCTGTGGTTTGTCTTCACCTCCTGACAATTGTGCGTCCTCTTGTCTCAGGAGGTTTTAGGTCCGTACGTCTTCATCATTTTCACCGTCCTTCTCATTGGGTTCTTCATCTTCACCTTCCTGCGGGTTCCTGAAACCAAAGGAAGAACCTTTGACGACATTGCTCAGGGTTTTGCTGCCAAGACGGGCCCACCGGCCCACGCCCCTGTGTCTGAGGCCGGGGTTGACGGACTACCGGGCAACAAAGGACACGCCCCGATGTCTCCCACAGAGAAGGTTCCCATGGTAGATCTTTCCAAGAACCCGTGAGCATCTGGTGAGACCTTCCAAAAAAGGTTCTGTGCACATAGTTCTATTTGATAACTCACTAATGAACCGGAGGAGAGAGTTGATCAAAGGCCGACTCGTGTCTGAACTTTGTTGTTAATTTATTTTAGTGCCTCTTTTTTGAGTGTTTTAAATGCTAGCAATGCTAAAAGAGTTCTGTAACCCTGTGCTAACGCGGGACAAACTCACTGACTGTTGACGTTCTCGGGTCAGCACGTGTTCAGGAAGTAGATTTCTGCCCCCTAGTGTTGCACGGCTGCGTGCTTTATGGGGTGTTAAATTATTGAGGTCAACTTTCAGAGTGCTAACTGTCCTGCGGGTTTGTGCGTTGTAGTCGGTGGTTGGGGGGTGGGGGGAGAAGGGTGGGGGGAGGGGAGGGGACGGTGCCTCCGTCCTCGTCCTGTTTTGGGTGGATACAAAGCACAGACTAAAGTAAGATATTAAACAGTATTTATATTATGTATTTAAACTAGTAACAATTGTGTATTTTGTTTGTGCCGTGGAGTCTAAACGGTGGGGGCGGGGGTAAATACAGGAGTCAGTTACACAGACTGAAGCTCTGAGTACCATGTGTCCATAGACCGTCATGTACCAGCAGCAGTGTTACAGCTTATTTTGAACAGTTTAAGTGTATTTTTAACTTGATTCGTGAACAGGAGTCTTTGTCCACTGACAAATGACAAACCACTGCACGGATTTCTACAATAAAACAAGTTGTACATGAGTTTCTGACTGTTTTTAACACCATTTCTACACAGTTTTACATCTTAGTGAGGGGGAGGAGCAGACGATAACAATGCAAACTGAAAATGTGTCAGCGTGTGTTTTGAATGGCGTTCGGCGGGCTATGACGTCAGACAGCAACGCTGCAGACACGGAAGAGTTATTCGGTAATAAATCATTACCTTGAATAAATCATAACTTTTTAAGCATGTTGAGCTTTCACTTTGACTAACTTGACTAACTGCTCTCTCGTTCACTACTTAACTAAAAACGCAAACTGTGCTGTGAAACAGACGTCAATCACCCTGTTGTTCGGTGCGGACGTAACGACGATGCAGCGGAAAGAAACATTTTAAATGGTCGCGGGATGAATGTTGAAATGAACAGAAACGCTGGGGTTTGTGCCCACGGAAACCAGGTGGACGTTGTCCAGAGTCGGAGTCCAGTCCTGGAACTGAAAGACCAGGTGAGACAGACATTAAAAAACATGTCTTTTTGGTTTTACCGCGAGAACGCGACAAAACTTCCAGTCATTTTAACGTCAAACTAACTTTTATCAGTTCGGTTTGAAAACGCATATTTACTTATTCATGAATAAAGCATTTGTTTAGCCACTCTTTTAATACATTTTTCATTACATTAAGAACATATTTTAACTCCCAAAACAGAGTTTTTGGAACGTTTCATTTTTTATTTATTTTTTGTCGATGTATTTTATAAATTAGCCGATGTTCTTGCTCGTTTGTGTGAATCAATAACTGCATTTATTTATTTATTTAATGCATTTAAACATTTCGATAACGAGGGTTCTTGTTGCTACGTAACTTTCGGTCGAGAGCTGGCTCGACTTCAGTAGCAGCAGCAGCAGAAGAAGAAGAAGACACAGGTATTAGCTAAAGACGTTAGCTTCTAAAACCGAAGTGCGTTCTGTTGACGTTCAGTTAGAGTTTCGCGGGTAGGAAGTTCGTTTGAGCAGATCAATAATTTGTTTTCAATTTGTTGTTTTTAATGTGTCATTGTTAAAATGAACGTCGAATCATTTTTCTGTGGTATATCAGTTCAAAGGTTACACTGTCAACAGAATTCCTCATTAGTGTTTTAAACTACACTGCTGACGTCACTTAGTCTCGATCTGTCTGTAGTACATTAAAGTCACCACTAGATGTCTCTAGATGTTTACTTTTTCTTTGGACTTTTTTTATGCTGCTGTATTGAAATAAGAACCACGTGAAACAGGAGTTGAACGTGTACTGATGACTGTGTTTACTGCAGTAATACTTCCTCTGCTGTGGACCCATCAAAATAAAACCTTTCTCCAGTTGTTGTGTTGTGGACAGATCCAGGCACTGGAGTACTGTTCTGTGACAGTTTGGACCTGCACTGCAGTAGGACAACGGCCTTTGGTTTGTGGTAAAATCACAACATGTATCTGCAAGAAAAGGTTGAATCGTTTTTTTTTTTTTTTTTTTTAAATTGTTGATTCCTTCCTTTTTGGGGTGTGTCGGCTCTGGGACTGGATTAAACTTGTTTGATTCTTATTAGAGCACTCACTAAAGCATCACAATAGTCACGTGTGTTTGTCTAAAGTAAACCAACACACATTTCTTCAAACCAAGATAAAATGTGGATTCTTTAATTGTGTATATTTTCTATTTCATGTATTAAACTTATAATGTGACTCCTGTTGCTGCATATATTTGATCATTTATTACTTTGTACAATTTTCCAATTCTTTACTAATTTATTGTTTAATATATATTTTATATATACCGAGTTTATCAATGTGTCAAATTAAAAAATAGTTTTTTGAAAACTATCATTTCAGTGCAGTACTGCGGTCTGACCAGCAGGAGGCACAGATTAGACGGGCGATAGTCTCGCGCGCGTGAGTATGAACATTTCGTGCACAGTCAAAGTGAAAAAACAAGTGGAAAAATCCGGCTGTAATTTTTTTTTTTTTTATAAATACCACAGGTTGAAAATTGCAGGAACTCTCACGTGACCGGCGCCACCGTGAGGCCGAGGCTCCGGTCTGTGTGAGAGAGAGAACTGGAACAACACCGTTCGACATGTCTGGACAACTGTTCTTTTTATTTATTTCATTTCCTCTTCTTTCTCACCCCCTCCCCCGACCCCGTTTCTCTCTCTGCCTCCCTCCCTCTCTCTAAACCCCCTCTCTCGACCGCCCCTCCCTCTCCGTTGTTGTAAAATGTCATTTTAATTATTATTCAGATTCTCTCCTCTCCCTCTCTCCCCCTCCCTCTCCCTCTCTCTCCCTCCCTCTCCTCCACATAAAGAGCCAACAGGCTCCTCCCCCTTCCTCACATCTCTTCTCCCGCTCCCTGCCTCTGTCTGTCAAACAAACCCACTCACTTCATCTCTCTCTCTCTCTCTCTCTCTCTCTGTCAGTGACTCTGTGGTGGACATGTGGACGCTGTGTCTGTCTCTCTGTCTCTTCTTCCAGTCCCTCTCAGCAGAGGAAGGTGAGTCTCAACTTTCTCTCTGAACATTTCCATCATCACATCACTGTGGTCCAGCAGTGACGGTAGAAGAGCTGCAGGTGGAAACCAATCACAGCACGGTGTGTGTGTGTGTGTGTGTGTGACGGGGGGTGTGGGGGAGGTGGGGTTCTGAGGACATGATGAGACAGAGGCCAGACACTTTCAGGTCTGGAGCCTCTGCTTTATCACCGTCCTGCTCCTGTTGGATTTGTCTTTAATACAGAGTCTGCATGTGCGTGTTCACGTGCACGTGCGTGTTCACGTGCGTGTTCATGTGCATGTTGGTGGTGGTGTACATGGAGGCAGATGGAGAAACAGTTCTGGAACTGTTTCTCTCTGACAGGGTCATGTGTGACCCCTGGTGGACATTTCAGTACTTGCTTTTCTAAACCAGTGGTTGTCAATCTATGGTATGTGTACAACTTGTGGCACTCAGGCTCCCTCTAGTGGTACCCAGCGTGTATTTTCCTGTTAGAAGTTTATTGTCTTTACTGTAGTGTACTGTGGTGTACTGTAGTGTACTGTAGTGTACTGTATGT